GGCCTTATTTGCAGCATGAATTCGAAAAATAAGTTTATTTTGAATTTTAATAAACTAAACGTTCACCAAAAAACTTTAGTGAGAAAAATCGAAAAAACGAACTACAAACATATTAACGCCAAACATTCGGTAGAATTTATAGAATATTGTAAAATATATATATATATATATATATATATATATATATGTTTTTTACAATATTCTATAATTATGGTCTGTTACCAACATATATATATGTATATACAAATATGTATATACAAATATATAGAATATAGATATATCGCAAATACTGATACTTATATAGATACCTGATACATTCATACCCCCATTGTTGAATACTTCCAACTGCATCTCATGTATTCCTAGGCCGACGATGAAGTAGTGGTGCAGCATGCTCTTTGTTTCCTTGTTCTGTTGGGTTTCAGTATCATTTATTTATCTGTCTATCTGTTTGTTTATTATGTTTTGTTCATCCACTCATTCATTTATCCGATCGAAATTTGGAATCTTAATACATATTTGCTATCATTGGTGTAAATACCCAGTAATATCACACATACTTTTATCCATCCAACAATTTATTCATTCAGTCACTCGTTGAAATACGTTATATCTATTCATCCATTCATTCATTTATCAATGCACACCTGCTCCTTCAGCACGTATTCGCAATCTTCAGTGGACATGTCCAGGAATATTTTCCTCCCTTCCGAGTTTCTGTTGTCCAGCTGGTTGAGTGTGTCGATGGCATGGTGAGGGTTCAAGACCTTGTAGAGGTAGACCCTGGCGTCGTAGTTGTGGTCCGCTATGCAGTCCAGTAGCTGTTGTAGGCGGTCCAGACCTAACGTGTGAGTGATCACATAAATATGTCGTGAATGCTCGATCAGTGAATGAATGAATTGATAGATTAATGAATGAATCAATGAATAAACGAACGAACGAAAGAATGAATGGTTAACAAACTCAACAACAACAACCTTCGTCAGAGTCATACAGGTACCATATTTCTTTCCAGTTATAATGCTTCAAAAGATCCAATATAGCTTTTGAATAAAGAGGCTTAACGTACAACTGAAAGCCCTTGCGATCTCCGGAAACAAGTGACGATGACGTCATAGCCGAATCGTTGACGGCCACGTTAGAGCTGATTGACGGGATGTGGAATGTATCCGTGTAGGAGCGGAAGATGTCCATGGATGCTAACGAGATGGGACCGTGTATGGCAAGAACTCCTTTTTCCAGGAAGGAACAAACTATTGGAAGTAATGTTGAGGTGATTTTGAAAAATTCATTCAAAATCATTCAAGTCATTCGGGGTGTGTAAGTGGCTAATTTGCTTTTTATCGCGTTTCAATTAGTTTTAACTGTTTTTGAAATTAACTTCTAATTTTATTTTCATTCTTTCATTTCACTGATTCATTCAACGATTTTGATGGGCATAATAAAATAGTTTTTAAAAATATTTTATTCTAGGAAGAAATAAAACAATAGAAAACTATTTCGCAAAGTAAAAATGAAAAAAAAACGAAAAAATAATTAAAATTGAACACTAATAAAAAGTTATAAAAAAAGTTAGGCAACTTGACTGACGTGTATTTCCCATTATGAAGCTATCCTGAATGTCAATTGTACTGGTTTCCATGTCAACATTGAATTCAAGCTGTTTACGGTGAAAGTGGAGTATGTCATGAACTTGCATGTAGGTCATCTCATCGTATACGGCTCCTGGTTGGTTGGGTAGGAATGGTTAAAAATGAATGAATAGATCTGATTGGTCAAGAGGGAAAGAATGGTTATGAATTAATAAATTTTATAGGTTGAGAAATGAAACAATAAATAAACAGAAAGACGCGATTGGTTTTGATTCATGATAGATAGATTGATTTGATTGGTTGAACATGAAAAAAATTATAAGTGTGTGGAATGATTTGATTGGCTGGAGAGGGATAAAAAAAATGAAGAGATTAATTTGATTTGTTGTGGTGGAGAAACGAAATATAGATTAATAAATTTTATTGGTCGAAGGAGAACATTGATGAATAGACGAATAGAATTAACAGGCTTAAGAAATATTGCAGATAAACAGATGCATTAGATTGATTGGTCGATAGAGAACCGTCAAATGTAAGGTATGATGTTTTTGGTTGGGAGGGGGAATAATACATTTACGGATTAATTTTATTGGTTGCTGTGAAGAAACGACAAATGGATGGTTAAATTTGATTGGGCGAGGGCTAGTTAGTCAGATCATCAATATTCATAATTAATTATGCCATTTCGTTGTTTGTATTCTTTATTAAATTATAATTACTTTAAAAAACTTTTAATATCTTTATCTTTTCTAACCGATCTTATGTAGAGTATCAGGATATTTGGCCATACACACGCAGCAAGCTAAAGTCATGATGGCAACGCAAATATACATAATGACGACGACGGCGATGATGATAATGATACTACGCTGATGATGATGATGATATTACGTTCGTTTAATTATCATTTAATTATTGTTGTATTATTCATTATAATTATTAAAAACTTGTTAAAATTATTCCTATTAGAGATACCTAAATGAAATGTGCATGAGTTTTTTGTGTGTTTTTTTTCATTATTAATTATTATTCAAATAGTTAGTCTAATTTTTCCGCTATTTGTTCAAGAAAAAACCGTCAATGAAATTTTGAGATCACTTTTCTTAATCCATGAAAATTAAAATAGAACAATTTAAACTAATTAATTAATCAATCAATCAATCAACTAATTAATTAATCATAAATAAGTTACCATTTATTAACAAATTCTCAAATAAACTTAAAACCATTGAAAAAATTACTAAAGTTGTGTTATTCATTTTAGGATGAATGCCTAGCATCCTTTATATATGGACACTAGATTGTCCATATACATACATACTACATACATACATACATACATACATACACACATACACACATACACACACACACACACATACATACATACATACATACATACATACATACAGACATACATTCATACATACAGAAGTTTCCTATTGATTGATACATACTTACAGTCATTTATACATATATACATTCATTCATACAAACATACGTACGTCCATACGTACATACACACATACATGCATACATACTTATACACATATGTGCCGGCTGCGGTACAAACGTATTTAAATATGTATGAAGTGTTTTAAGCTCTCAGGTTTGGCGTGCCTGTATTGATCGATTTCTGACGTTATATACATGTATATGTGTGTATTACACACACACATACACACACACACACACACACACATACACACACACACACACACACAGAGAGAGAAACAAACATGCACATGCACACACATATAGAATTCTGTTGCTTGTTGTACATAGGCAAAACAAATTGTTGGTTTTTATATTTGATTTTGATTCATTGCAAAGATACAATTTGAAAAAACTTAAGTAACATCACAAGCATGTAAGTTATAGATTACAAACAAATAACACCGAAAGACACATGTACATAAATATGTGTGTGTTTTTGTATGTGTGTGTGTGTAAGTGTGTGTTTGTGTGTGTGTGTTTGTGCACGTGTGATAACTTAATACGTGACAACGGTTAAGCGTATGAATTTTATAGCTGCATTAGTAGTAATAGGCATTTTATTCAACATAAATATCATCACCATCATCATCAAAAACAACGACATTATCATCATCATCGTCGTCGTCATCATCATCATTATCATGATAATCCTAATTCTTCTAGAAAACTTGGCGGCTCTTCTTGCTCCTAAAATTATTTTTATTAACTATTAAAATATTAAGTAACATCATTAATATTTAATAATAATAAACAATAATAATAAACAATAATAATAAACAATAATAATGACAATAATAATAAACACTACCTCTTGCAGAATATCCATCTGGTTGATGGCCGACAATATCGTCCTCTGACTTGAATCCTGGACCTCCCCTCCTAGAATGAACTCGTCCAGAATGTAGTGGGCTTTCTCAAAGTTGAACACTATGTCTAATTCACATACCTGTTTTCGTTAGTTTTTTTATTATTATTATTATTATTATTATCATTAACATATTATTATGATTGTTATTATTATGGTGTTTTTGAGTTAATGATGCTTGTGTGGTTTGTGTTGTTTTTGTTGATAGATGATTCCATCCTGATACCATATTTTTTAATTAAAACGTCAACCAACCAAATTACACACGCAATAGCATGAACGTGCCACGACGCACAGACACACGCAAACACACACACAGACAGGCAAACACACACAGACAGGCAAACACACACAGACAGGCAAACACACACAGACAGGTAAACATAAACAGACAGGCAAAAACACAGAATGAACAATAAATACCTAGGCAAAAAATTGTTTTCCATAATGCTTTAATTAAAAAAAACAAAACCCTCACAAAATTAATAAAATGGCTTACGTTTCCGAAATACTTGTCGAGCAGTTCAACGTACCGATGAATAATTTCTAGAATGATCAACTCGTTATCCGCCTTCTCTACAAGGCAACAAAAGTATAAGCTGGCGTATCTAAGTGATTGGTTGGTTGGCTGATTGGTTGGTTAGCTGGTTGATTAGTTGGCTGATTGGTTGGCTGATTGATTGGTTGATTGATTGGTTGGTTGGTAAGTTGGTTGGTTGATTGGTTGGTCCACAATTAAGAGAACAATTGCTAAATGCTTGTTAGTATTGATGGATTGATCATTTGTATGCAAATAAGATAATAAAATGAGTCTTGTGTTTTGTTGATTAAATTCGTTTCAAAACACTTAATGTTGTGCAGGCTCATAACTCCGACATTGCACTATGTATTGTATTTGCACGCTGTTTATGCATGGCTTCGCTTCGGCTTTAAACAGCAATCGAACCCGGATGACGCGCAATAACAGCAACAAGAAGCACAACATTCTTACCATCTGAGCTACTGACCCAATTAAATGAATAATAATGATATTGTCGTTAAAAATA